GTATAAGCAAAGGAAGGAACATTGCTCACGTACTTTAATCAAGGAGGGAAAGCGTTTCTTGGGTTTACAGGAATTTACTTCTTTGCCACTCCCTGTGTCTACCTCAAGCAATAATCTGACATATTCAGATGATTTCGATCATTTATTTTTAATGGCAGACTTAATTTTCATTCCTTGTGAATGCATTCTGTTTTTAGCTATTTGTTAAGGAGAACCTTGGAAATGTGTGTGTGTGGGAGGTGGGAGGGTGCCTGGCTGGCTCAGTCAGAGACACGTTTGACTCTGGACGTCTGGGTCATGAGTTCAAGCCCCACATTGGGCATAGAGCCTACTTAAAAAAAAAAAAAGCCAAAAGTGTGTGTGTCTGAGTATGTGCGCCTTGTGTATGTATCTATCTGTTCATATCTATTTATTTATATTTATCTCTTGATGGTATAAATAGATACATATTAAATATAAATATATAAACTATATACAATATTTGCAAAATAAATAGATTCCTATCTGTTTATTTGTAGACAGATACTTACACATACAGAGACATTTTTGTGTTTATTTAAAAAAAATTTTAACGTTTATTTTTTATTATTGAGAGACAGAGAGACAGAGCACGAGCAGGGGAGGGGCAGATAGAAAGGGAGACACAGAATTCGAAGCAGGTTCCCGGCTCCGAGCTGTCGGCAAAGAGCCTGACGCGGGGCTTGAACTCACAAACCGCAAGATCATGACCTGAGCTGAAGTTGGATGCTCAACCGACTAAGCCACCCAAGTGCCCCATTCTGTTTATTTTTTATTATAAAACTATATGTGAAATAATTCAGAATACTTAGCTTTGCCAGATTTGTCCAGAAAAGTTTAAGGAAGAAGGTGGTGATTTCAGTTGGGATTTTCTGAGCCAACATGTAAGGGTGAGAATAGTTCGGGCCCATGTAGGGTTTATTGAATGCAGGGTGCCTTATGGGGTCACTTTATGTTCTCTGTGACTAAAAGTTAGGACTTGGATTGGCATCCTGTGAGTAGAAACCACTTTCTTTAATAAACTCATTCAAATAGTTTTTCAGTGTTGGGTGAGGTTCACTGTTTTGATAACTCGAGCGAGAGCCGGAATTACCATCGGGACAGTGCAAGCATGAAGACCTTGAATTTGGGTGCATTCTCATAGGAAATCTGGGGCGGGGGTCCTCTCCCTCCCCTCCCCCACACCTGTGAATGTTTAACATCATCACGTCCTGTTTTTACTTCCTTAAGTAAAATAATCACAAGTGAAGCCGTCATTCACCAACTCCTCAGAGTTGGACTGTGTTCTTCAAACCTGGCATGTTTTCTTGCAATGTTTCCACTCACCATTTGGTTCCATGACTTGAAAGATTTAAAATTATTCAGAAAATAGGTACAACGTGTGCTTCGAGCTCCCTACCTGGCATCTGGGCTTGAAAATAAAAACCAGGATCCCACATCCAGGAATGAATTGGATTCGTTCCTTAGATTGATAGTAGAATGGCTTGTTTTCTGTGTTAACTTCTGACAAGTGTGTGATGCAGTCCTGGACGTTTTAAAACCCTTGACATTCTAACATTGGCAACTGGGGATGAATCGGTCACCCCTGCACTGAATTCCCTGCTAGCCTCTCATTGCCGCCTCGTAATCTACAGCTACCTCCGTGCGAAACCACATGAGGTGATTTCAAGATCAATGTGAGTTAGTATTTTGCAAGCTGGGTCATTCACCACTGCAAGACTTCTTCTCTCTGTAGACGTGACTTTGTGAACTGGGCAGTTTGACTGTTGTGTTCATGCCTTCTCACTTCTGTCATCATATAGTTTGTAGACTCTCATTTGGTTAGAAGTTGGGTCAACATGAGTAGATACCTGTTCTGGACTGAATGTTTGCACTCTTCCCCCAAAATTCATTGATGGAAACCCTACCCTACAATGGGTTGTAATCAGGAAGTGGTGACTTTGGGAAGTAACTAGGGTTGGATCTTTTCCTGAGGGTGGGAACCCTGTGATGGGATTGATGTCCTTGTGACAAGAGGACCCCAGACCTCTCAGCCTTGCAGCCTCCAGCAGTGTGGAGAAATACATATTTGTTGTTTATAAGCCTCCCAGTCTCTGTTAATTTGTTACCACAGCCCAAGCAGCCCAAGACATTTATATCATTCATCACGTGTATTGTTTGATGAAAAAAAAAATAGATAGAAAGACCTGTAAAGGCATTTCCAGGTGATACAGCAACACGTAAGACCATTGTATGTATTGAATCGTTGTTAGAAATCACTAATGACAGGTGCTGGGAAATGCCATTGGGTTTTTGCCATGTGTCTCTGTCCCAGTCCATTCGCACGTGTGCTGTTTGCTTCTCTCTGGCCGTCAGGGGACCCTCTGCTGCTAATTCTGGTCTCTGTGGGTTTACCTGAGCGGGGGAAGACCACCCCAGATAACTCAGAGTCAACTGATTAGGGACTTCAATTGCACCTGGAGACTCCAACTTGTGTTACATTATAACCTCCCAATGGTAGGTCCCTGGACATGGTCCCACCCTCCTTCTGGCATTTGCGCTAAGGCACGGGAAGCTGGGGGAGGGGAGCATCTAGAATCCTGTTCCTACGGAAGGTAAACAGGATGTATCCCCCGACCAGGGAACATAGGCGAGTTGCAGGGTGCAGTATCTTTACCCGTGCTAACATGGCATTTTAAGAATTTCAAGTAGGGGCACCTGGGTGGCGCAGTCGGTTAGGCGTCCGACTTCAGCCAGGTCACGATCTCACGGTCCGTGAGTTCGAGCCCCGCGTCAGGCTCTGGGCTGATGGCTCAGAGCCTGGAGCCTGTTTCCGATTCTGTGTCTCCCTCTCTCTCTGCCCCTCCCCCGTTCATGCTCTGTCTCTCTCTGTCCCAAAAATAAATAAACGTTGAAAAAAAAAATTAAAAAAAAAAAAAAAAGAATTTCAAGTATAGGGACTCCCGGGCGGCTCAGTCAGTTAAGCATCTGACTTCTGATCTCAGCCCAGGTCATGATCTCACGACTTGTGAGTTCGAGCCCCATGGCGGGCTCTGTGCTGACAACTCAGAGCCTGCTTTGAATTCTCTCTGTCTCTCTCTGCCCCTCCTTCACTTGCACTCTGTGTCTCTCGCAAAATAAATTAACATTATAAAAATTAAAACAAAAAGAATTTCCAGTATACACATCCTGTCATACGGACACCCGTCATACTACCTGCACGATCGTCCTATTCCAAGATGACCCCATCTTCCTACTCCCATCAGCGCTGACCTTAGTTCCAAATAAGGCTCCGTTCGGATGTCCTGGGAGTTTCACACTAGAAGATAATCTATTTGGAGGGAGAGGATGTAGTTCGTCCCATCCCAGCCCCTTAGCACTTAGACCTCCTAACACATGATCTATTTCACTCAACTGATGGCTGCCCCTTCTCTGTCTGTTGCCTGCATGAAACGCTTGTGGCCAGGAACACCTGCCATGGTCACTGCTGCATTCGGTGTGCGGTAAACGGGGCCGCCGCTGGAGGGTCCTCAGGCAATACGGACAGACAGAAAGGGAGGATTTTTGCAACGTGCCAACCCTGAGACTGGGTTGTCTCCATCCGAGACTGTATTGTGCTCTCCCCGAGGGTCAGTCCCGTGATGCCTTCCCGGGACCTGCCTCACAGGCTGGGCAGGGACTGCATCTTCCTTGAACAGGTCTAGGCAGCAGGGAGGGAGAGCAGATGGGCAGAGAGATTTTCCGGGGTCCGCTCCCAAGTAGAGAGCAAGACCAGAGAGGCGTGTATTTGAAGGACCTTATGTCCCTGCCCCTCCAATGTCTGGAAGAAACAAAAGTCTGCACTTTGCAGAGGCAGCTCTTTGTCGGATGCACGGTTTTCGACCCGGGAGGTTGCCTGCGGGATTTGCACACAGAATGGAGAAAGGACTTTTCACCGTGAAGGTATTTAGGTTCAGAGAGCACACAGCTCGCCCTGCAAAGACCCCCGAGTCCCTTCGTCCCCCAGACTTGCAATCACAGAGTCATTTGAAAATCAAACTCACTTGTTCTGTTGGGTTCTTGCTTGGAAATTCCCAGTCGTGCACACACACACACACACACACACACACACACACACTCACATGCACACTGGGGACACGTGACCCAAAGGTCTTACGCTTCACTCGCTTATTTAAGTCAAAACTGGTACCATCACCGAATTCGTTTCCTTACGAGAGGACGTTCTGAGGGACCATCGATAAGCCAACGAGAAGAAGGGACGTCCATTCCTGGGTGATGCATTCCAAGCCATTGGGAATGATGGGGACCCTGTGCATCTCGGACCCAACATGACCCCAGATTTCGCCAAGCTGGCCAGGAAGTCTGCCCCTCAGAGTGCGGTGACTACACCCCAGTCGTGAGTGGGGGTCACTCGGCCAGACGTTGTGCAGCCAGACTGACCGCTGGGCTCATGTGACACGATAATTTATTTTGATAATTTATTTTGAGAGAGAGTGAGAGAGAGAGTGAGTGAGCACGAGTAGGGGAGGAGCAGAGAGAGGGGGAGAAGGAGACAGAGAGAGAATCCCAAGCAGGCTCCACACTGTCAGCACGGAGCCCGACGTGGGGCTCGAACTCATGAGCTGTAATATCATGACCTGAGCCGAAATCAAGACTCAGGAGGTCACCTGACTGAGCCACCCAGGCGCCCCTGGACGCTCTCTTGAAAGGGACTCTTTGCCACCCGTGTTGTCCTGTTTTGTAGGTGCTCAGTGCTTATAGGGAGAGCCTCATGGGTGTGGGTTCCGACTGACTCGATGAGATGTTTTCCATCCGTGGTACCCGAGTCGTGACGCGGAGGGACGGTCAGGGAAATGGCGTTCCACTTTTCTCCATGGGTCTTTCTCCCTGGCTCGGAGTGGTCAGAAAACCAGCTACACTTGTTTTTAAAGGCTCTAAGACATTCACAACCACATAATGAAAATGTGTCTTAAGACCTTCCTTGTCTCAACTGTAACAGCATGAAATGAGTTTCATGAAACGAGGATCAACCCCAAGCACTCTTTCCTTGTTATTTGGTAGATTGAAAGGTACACTGAACATTCTTTTTCATCTGGTCCCCGTGACCGAGTTTTTGTCTTTCCTGACTATAGGTCTTTAAACGACCACATGATTTTAAAGCTAAAAGGAACATGGGAGGCAATTTCATAGCAAATTGAAATGTCCGTAAGCAGACATATTAGTCTTTCTAAGGCTGTTATCACAAATTACTATAAACCTAAGAACAAAACAAGTTTGTTCTCTCTCTGTTCTGGAGACCAGATGTCTGAGATCCAGGCAGGGCAGGACACTGAGATCCAGGGGGAGGGCAGGACCTCTGAGATCCAGGCAGGGAAGGACCCCTGAGATCCAGGCAGGGCAGGGCCACTGAGATCCAGCAAGGGCAGGACCACTGAGATCCAGGAGGGGCAGGACCATTGAGATCCAGGCAGGGCAGGGCCACTGAGATCCAGGCCGGGCCGGGCCACTGAGATCCAAGAGGGTCAGGGCCTCTGAGATCCAGGCAGGGCAGGACCACTGAGATCCAGGCAGGGCAGGACCCCTGAGATCCAGGAGGGGCAGGACCAGTAAGATCCAGGCAGGGCAGGGCCACTGAGATCCAGGAGGGTCAGGGCTTCTGAGACCCAGGCAGGGCAAGGCCCCTGAGATCCAGGCAAGGCAGGGCCACTGAGATCCAGGCAAGGCAGGGCCACTGAGATCCAGGCAGGGCTGTGCTCCCTCCTGAGGCTCCAAGGGAGGGTCCTTCCAGCCTCTTCCAGCTTCTGGGGCTCCAGGCACCCCTGGGCTCGTGGCCACATCCCTCCCATCTCTGCCTCCTCCTTCACGTGGCTTCTCCTCTGTGTCTGTGTCTCCCCTTCCGTCTCTTACAAGGACACCTGTGATTGGATTCAGGGCCACCCTCCTCCAGGATGGGCTCCTCTCAGATCCTTCCCTTACTCCCATCTGCAAAGACGCCGTTTCCCAATAGGGTCAGTTGACAAGTTCTGAGGGTTTGCGAGCGGACGCATATTTATGGGGACGCTTCAACAACTTTACTTTAGTTGTGGGGTCCGGTCACATGGCGGCCACTGGTGGTCTTTCGTGGCGTGGGTCGGGATACGTGGCTCTCCTAATGGATCCAGCGGTCCAGTGGGGAGGGAAGCCGGCACCATGGAGCACGTATCCTCTGTCTGATTGAGAACGTGGGGGTCTTAGAACAAGGGCACCTCGTTGGTGATGAAGGAGGAACGCTTTGCCCGCCCGACAAACGCACAGCTGGGAAGGCCAGTCAGCTGGCTCTGTCGCACCAAGGACACGGGCACACTCTGTTCTCGCCCCCGTCTGAAGGAAGGCTCAGCGTTTTTCCAAGCCAGTCACGCATTTCCTGAATGCATTGCATACGAACTTTGGAAAAAGCCCAGGAAACGACCGCCACAAAATGCTTCTTAAAGGGTCTGGAAAATTTTCACTTTCCAAGTAAAGGTAATGATGTTTATTTAAAAAAAAAAAAATCCGTAAGTGACGACTGTCCGTGCACGGTGGCCAGACTGCATGTCCTCGAGAACAAAAGTATTTTGGAGGAAATCAAAAACTCACCCTGCTGCCCTTTCTATGTATAGTATGTGTAGAATGTATATAACATACTGTCGAGTATACTATTATATTATGTTTTATTCATTTTTTTTGAGAGAGACAGAGACAGCGTGAGTGGGGGAGGGGCAGAGAGAGAGAGAGAGACAGAGACACAGAATCCGAGGCAGGTTCCAGGCTCCGAGCTGTCAGCACAGAGCCCGACGCGGGGCTCAAACTCACGGACCGCGAGATCATGACCTGAGCTAAAGTCGGGCTCTCCACCGACTGAGCCACCCAGGAGCCCCTCCCAAGAGCTAATTTCCCCATTTTGAGCTCTTATAGATGCGTGCGAGAGAAATATTGTACAAAACGCCTTTGGCATTGAAAGCAATACACAGGGGACACCGAAGCCTGCCTTATGCCACGAGTAACAAGGTTCGAATGCATGTCGAGCCTTCCTTTCAACCCCTTCAGGGTGTTCGATGGCCTCCTGTTCTAAGAAGATGCCCTGGGACACACCGGATGAGGCGTGGGGGTCCAGGGCATGGACCGTCTGGGAGTCATTCTTCCTATAATGGGCTCCTTCGTTACGATGAGAGCAGACTCCATAATTACTCAGTAAATCTGTGCTCCGTGGCCCAGACTCTTAGCTCTGGGAGGTTCATTGCTTGCTACGCAGGGAACCAAAGGTAATAGGGTCTCGGAAAAGCAAGCCATTATAACTGGTGCAAATTCCTTCTTTGGAATTCAACGCCCGTTACTGGCTTGAAGGCTCACCCCAGTGCATTCTTTCTGGCTCACGTGGGTCCCTGCCCCACGAAAGACACGTTGAAATCCTACTTGTGGTACCTGTGAATGTGACCTCATTTGCAAAGAAGTCAGGGGGCGTCCATACGTTCAAATGCACCCTGATCCTTGTTTTCCAGAAGATGCTAATGTCTCCTGTATACCTACTCACTCATCATGCACCTGTCCCCTTGATTGGATGCTGAGGCACCGTGCAAGAATGCTCAGTGCCTGGAGGGTGCTTCGGTTCCCGGCTTCACCCTGTCCGTGGCTTGTTCGTGCACCTGCAAGAAACCTTATGAGTGGGGCAGATCTTTCTAGAATGTGAGGCTCCTGATGACAACACAGGCTGCTCAGGTACTGTGTTAGCCACACGTCCCACAGCCACCTGAGTGGCAGAGGTCAGCAGCCCCGATCTAGAAAATGACGTTCTGGGATGCTTAATTGTGTCTACGTGACTGGGCCACGGGGGTGCTCAGATCTCTGGCCCAAGACGATTCTGGGTATGTCCATAAGGGCGTTTCTGGACAAGATTAGCTTTCGATTCAGTGGAGTGAGGCAGTGGAGGGTCGTCTCCAGTGTGGGTGAGCCTGATCTAATCAGTTGAGGGCTAGAATAGAAGAAAAAGGCTGAGTAGGAGAGAAATTCCTGCTTCCTGATGTCCTTCCAGCTGGGACACTGCTTTGCTTTGTTTTGTTTTTTTCTTATCTTCAGACTTGACCTGAAATATCAGCTCCTCCTGGGTCTTGAGCCTTTGGGCTGAAACTTACACCGTCAGCTCTTGGTTCTCTGCCTTCGGACTCAAATTAGAACTCACACCACATGAGCTGTCCTCCATCTGTAGCTTGCCTGCAGATCTTGGAACTTCTCAGTGTTTGTAATTGCATGAACGAGTTCTCTATAATGAATGCCTCCCCATGTGACACACACACACACACACACACACACACACACACACCCCCATTGGGTCTGTCTCTCTGGAGAACCCAGACTCATGCATCATCTTATTCTGAGGTGTTCATCATCCTGTTCTGCGATGATCATTGTCTTGTCCTGGGATGGTTGCTGTCCTCTTCTGGGATGCTCATGTTTCTGTCTCTTTTCTCTTTCTCTCAGATCTGGACGGAGGTCCAATCCAAAAATGAGCACCACAGCCCTTGACCCTCTAGAACCCATCTGAGAGAGTGAGCCTAAAACCTCATCCTAACACCTGCTCATGGAGGATTAAAGAAATGATCCCTACACCCTCAGAGGTGGGCGAGATCCAAGATATGAAAAAATCCAGTTCCTTAGTGTCATTGGTTAAGATGAGGGTGCTGGTTTCCACGGCTGCTGTAACAAAATCGTGCCAAACAGCAGGCTTAAGACAACGCAAAGTTACTGTTTCCGAGTTCTGGGGACCAGGAGTCTGAAATCAAAATGGCGGCAGGGTTGGCTCCTTACTGAAGGCTCTGGGGAAGGCTGTCATCAATGCTTGGTGTTTCCTGTAGACACATCACTCCAGTCTCTGCTTCTGCGTCCACTTTGCTGTCTCCCCTGTGTTTCTGTGACCCTCTCAGTGAGGGACTCCAGTCATTGGATTTACGACCCACCCCAGTCAGAAAGGACCTTGCCATATCTCGGTACATCTGCAAAGCCCTAATTTCCCAAATATATTCTCTTGCATCCGGTCATGAGTGGACACATCTCCCTGGAGGCCAGAGTTCAACCCATTGCACCCAGGTCCTGGGCCAGAATCGGAGAGGACATTAGAGCATCAGGCTGTTGATCTGGAAATGCACACTCAGCCTATTTCCAGGGCTCGTAATGAAGCCATCATCCCATTTAGATAATAACCACCAGCCTTGGGGATGATGCTGGCTTGCTTTGTTCTTCTTTCTGACAATTCTCCTTTGTACTTGGGTTTATGGAAAGAGGAGACACACACACACACACACACACACACACACACACACACACACACACTCACTCAACCCTCCTACAGCTTACAATGCCTGAGCTCCGTGCTGTGTTCAGCCCCCCATGGCCCTATAGAACTGGGGGAAGAAAGGAGTCAGATGGTCGATTAATTCCATCCTTCCATCTGAATTACAGACACCTGTGAGGGAGGACAGGGGGAGCTCTTTCTTCTACAAGAAAACAAGACCCCAGAAAATTCGCCTTCTTATTTGTGTCTTGGTGAAAACACACGGTCATAACAATGGTTGCGATGGGAAGTAAACATCAGAGACAGGTAAATTTTACGTCCCAGGGGGTCGGGAATGGTGCAGATTCTTTTAAAACCCACTGAGCATTGCCCTTCCGGGACTGAGATGAAAATAACTAACCAGAAAGCAAACACACAGGGAAACTAAAATCGTACAAAAGCCAAGGATTGTCCCCGTGGGAGTGGAAACTGGGGGCACACGCAGGCTTTTCCAGCAGGATGCAGACGGCCGGAGGAAGGAAAGGGAGACTGTGGTGGAAATGGGCAGCCTTTTCTGCAGTAGAAATGCGACATCGTTTTGTCAGTTCCGTCCCCGACACATAAAAATGCGTGTCAGACTCACAGCGGGCAGAGTAGCGCTCTGTGATTTGGAAGCTCATTCTCTGTGCTGTGCGAATGACTACCTGCTGGACGTCTGAGAGCTGACCCGGTGCCCGGAGACTCATGCTCTGTGCACTCACAGGATCCCCTTTGCAAGCTTGCTCGATATTTTCCATGCCCACACACCCTCCGTTTTTGGAACACTCTGCTTATTTTTAAGTGAAGCCAGATGTTGATATTTTCGAGCTGATCTAGCAAGAACTCTCCACCTGTCAATATGGTACCTCTGTCCCCCCACCAGACACCTCCTCCGTGAAGTCTCCCAGGGCTCCCAGGTGCAGCGTGGCCCCCGTCTTCCATGTCTGTTCACTTTTCCCATGCACTTCTGCGAATGTGCGTGCCTGGCCCGTGGGCTCTGTAACCATTCACCCCACGCACCCCACATCAGGCTCCTGGGAGCCAGCCCCTCGAGGGTCCCATCTCGATGGCCGCCTGGGGGCCAAGCCCTGGAGACTTCCCCCTGAGACAAGCAATAGAGCTTGAAGGACTTTGCAAATCATGTATTGAAATGGGGAGAGGAGGAGGAGGAGGGGACTGTTGTCATAAGGAGCGAGCCCCGACCGTGAGATACGTGTGCAAGCGACGGTGGGCAGAAAGGACCTTTCAAGGACTGCGAGCCTAGGAGCACCAGGTGTGGTGTGGGATGAGTATGTGCTGTGATTGAAATGTCGGGGTGGCAAATCTCCTCCTTGGCAGACAGGTGACTTCGGGGTAGGTTGCTCTGCGTTCGAGTGTCGCTGAGGTTGAGGGCGGCCTGACATCCAGGGGCTGGTCTGGGAAGGAGGGCAGATGAACCAAAGTCGGATCCGGACAGGTGACAGAGCATCTTGCCCACAGGTATCTGGGGATGCACACAGTTCAGCCAATTCTTCATGAGCCTA